TTGTGGAGACCGACAGCTGCTTCTGGGCGCAGCCCACACAGAAAGCCACCTGGAGGCAGGTGTTCCAGAAGGCTCCCCCTCCTGCTCTGCCCCTTCCCCTCCCACAGTGCCTCACCACCCAGCACGCGGTGCTGTTTCCTCATCGACGACGCCCTGTCTCTCCTCCCACAGGACGGCACTTCCCAGCGGGATGTGGTTTGCTGGTTCGGTTCACGGAGCAGTCCCAGCACCGAGGCAAGAGCCTGGCAGCTGTGGTCACCTGGCCAGTGTCTGCGGAAAGAACCAGTCTTGGGAGAGGCCCGATCCTGGCTTCTCCCAGCAGCTCCAGCCCACTCTGCCCTCCCGCAGCTGGAGCACGCAGAGGCCTCGGCCTGGCCGATCTGAACCCCAGACTCCACGCCCTGGGCCGCGGGGTCAGGAACATGCTCTCAGCATGTGCACTGCCACGTGGGGCTCACAGAACCCAGCCTGCCCCCAGGGAACCAGCAGCTCCCGAGGCAGCGGGACCGGGAGCCTGGACGTGACCAGCGGTCCCAGGGCTGGGCCCCGACAGGCTAAGGTCGCATCTTGACTTAAGTTACGCCTCGACCCCCGAGCCCTAAGGTAGGACGACCTCAGGGCTGTCCTCAAGGCACGAAGAGCTGATTCGTCGCCCTGACCTCGCCTATGGCAATCGGGACCCTGGACCCAGAACTCACAGCGCCTGGTGGCTTTGCCCTCTGTAATTGGCACCGTGTCCCATCGGGAGTTTGGCACGTAAGCCTGAGCACGTTCTCCTGGGTGGCACCGTTCACGGGGAGACAGGCACGGAGCCTGGTGCTCGGCTCTGCTAGCTGGGTGACCAAACGCTTTCAGCTCCCTGACACAATGCGAGTGGGGCAAATAATGGGGCATTTTGAAAACATCGGTAAAAACAATGAAATGAAAAATGAAACATTAAGAAAAGGTCAATCTTCCCTCTGCAGCTTCCCCAGGATGGCCGTGTCTGATGGAAATGTGGGCTTTGTGTGTGTGTGTGTGGGGAGGGGGGGGGCGGTGGGCAGCTGGCAGGGCGCCTGGCCTGCCTGTCAGAGGAGACGGAGAGCCAGCGCCTCCTCCCCAGGGAGAGGCTGGGCCCCCGCCAGGGCTCCCGGGCCGGCGTGGGCTCGGGACAGAGCAGGTGAGTCCTGCAGGAGGAGCGGTGAGTCCTGCAGGAGGAGCGGGTGAGTGAGTCCTTCAGGAGGAGCGGGTGAGTCCTGCAGGAGGAGCGGGTGAGTGAGTCCTGCAGGAGGAGCGGGTGAGTGAGTCCTGCAGGAGGAGCGGTGAGTCCTGCAGGAGGAGCGGTGAGTCCTGCAGGAGGAGCGGGTGGGTGAGTCCTGCAGGAGGAGCGGGTGAGTGAGTCCTGCAGGAGGAGCGGGTGAGTCCTGCAGGAGGAGCGGGTGAGTGAGTCCTGCAGGAGGAGCGGTGAGTCCTGCAGGAGGAGCGGGTGAGTGAGTCCTGCAGGAGGAGCGGGTGAGTGAGTCCTGCAGGAGGAGCAGTGAGTCCTGCAGGAGGAGCGGGTGAGTGAGTCCTGCAGGAGGAGCGGGTGAGTGAGTCCTGCAGGAGGAGCAGTGAGTCCTGCAGGAGGAGCGGGTGAGTGAGTCCTGCAGGAGGAGCAGTGAGTCCTGCAGGAGGAGCGGGTGGGTCAGTCCTGCAGGAGGAGCGGGTGAGTGAGTCCTGCAGGAGGAGCGGGTGGGTCAGTCCTGCAGGAGGAGCGGGTGAGTGAGTCCTGCAGGAGGAGCGGTGAGTGAGTCCTGCAGGAGGAGCGGTGAGTCCTGCAGGAGGAGCGGTGAGTCCTGCAGGGGGGGCGGGTGAGTGAGTCCTGCAGGAGGAGCGGGTGAGTGAGTCCTGCAGGAGGAGCGGTGAGTCCTGCAGGAGGAGCGGTGAGTCCTGCAGGAGGAGCGGGTGAGTGAGTCCTGCAGGAGGAGCGGGTGAGTCCTGCAGGAGGAGCGGTGAGTGAGTCCTGCAGGAGGAGCGGGTGGGTCAGTCCTGCAGGAGGAGCGGGTGAGTGAGTCCTGCAGGAGGAGCGGGTGGGTCAGTCCTGCAGGAGGAGCGGGTGAGTGAGTCCTGCAGGAGGAGCGGGTGGGTCAGTCCTGCAGGAGGAGCGGGTGAGTGAGTCCTGCAGGAGGAGCGGTGAGTGAGTCCTGCAGGAGGAGCGGTGAGTCCTGCAGGAGGAGCGGTGAGTCCTGCAGGGGGAGCGGGTGAGTGAGTCCTGCAGGAGGAGCGGGTGAGTGAGTCCTGCAGGAGGAGCAGGTGAGTGAGTCCTGCAGGAGGAGCGGTGAGTCCTGCAGGAGGAGCGGTGAGTCCTGCAGGAGGAGCGGGTGAGTGAGTCCTGCAGGAGGAGCGGGTGAGTGAGTCCTGCAGGAGGAGTGGTGAGTCCTGCAGGAGGAGCGGTGAGTCCTGCAGGAGGAGCGGGTGAGTCCTGCAGGAGGAGCGGGTGAGTCCTGCAGGAGGAGCGGTGAGTCGTGCAGGAGGAGCGGTGAGTCCTGCAGGAGGAGCGGGTGAGTGAGTCCTGCAGGAGGAGCGGGTGAGTGAGTCTTGTAGGAGGAGCGGTGAGTCCTGCAGGAGGAGCGGGTGAGTGAGTCCTGCAGGAGGAGCGGGTGAGTGAGTCCTGCAGGAGGAGCGGTGAGTCCTGCAGGAGGAGCGGTGAGTCCTGCAGGAGGAGCGGGTGAGTCCTGCAGGAGGAGCGGGTGAGTGAGTCCTGCAGGAGGAGCGGTGAGTCCTGCAGGAGGAGCGGTGAGTCCTGCAGGAGGAGCGGTGAGTCCTGCAGGAGGAGCGGGTGAGTGAGTCCTGCAGGAGGAGCGGGTGAGTGAGTCCTGCAGGAGGAGCGGTGAGTCCTGCAGGAGGAGCGGTGAGTCCTGCAGGAGGAGCGGGTGAGTGAGTCCTGCAGGAGGAGCGGGTGAGTGAGTCCTGCAGGAGGAGCGGGTAAGTGAGTCCTGCAGGAGGAGCGGGTGAGTGAGTCCTGCAGGAGGAGCGGGTGAGTGAGTCCTGCAGGAGGAGCGGGTGAGTGAGTCCTGCAGGAGGAGCGGGTAAGTGAGTCCTGCAGGAGGAGCGGGTGAGTGAGTCCTGCAGGAGGAGCGGGTAAGTGAGTCCTGCAGGGGGAGCGGGTGAGTGAGTCCTGCAGGAAGAGCGGGTGAGTGAGTCCTGCAGGAGGAGCGGGTGGGTGAGTCCTGCAGGAGGAGCGGGTGAGTGAGTCTTGTAGGAGGAGCGGTGAGTCCTGCAGGAGGAGCGGTGAGTCCTGCAGGAGGAGCGGGTGAGTGAGTTCTGCAGGAGGAGCGGTGAGTCCTGCAGGAGGAGCGGGGCTCTTGGTCACCAGGTGGGAGGCTGAGGCTTTGCGACATACACGGGAGGAGGGCGTCTCCACACGCGGGCGGGTTCTGGAAGGGCCCGCACGCCGCCCTCGGCATCGCTGTGCTTGGGAGCAGTGACTGGGCCGCGTGTGGGGCCCGGAGGGGGCAGCGCGGACCTGGAGGCCTCCTCCCAGCCGGGCAGGGGAGGCAGGACCGGCGCTGTGACTCTGGACCGGGTTCGGAGAAATTGGGGGGTGTGCTGAGGGGCCTCCGGGAAGGCTCACTGAGCTCTCTGCTGACAGGATCCAGCTAGAGCGGTGGGAAGAGTGACCACGGGTGGCCCCAGCTGTTGGCAGGAGCGTTCGTTTCTTCACACACACAGCGTGTTGTCTTTCTTCCCCCAGATCAGTGTGGAGCAGTGTGGAGATAGAGCAGATATGTCTAAATATAGGTCAGTTTGCTTTTTCAAATGAATCCCACTCTTGTTTCGTTTTCCCAGCCATGCCAGTTTAACGTGGAATGTACAAGCTATTTTTTAGATTTTTATTTCTTTATTGATTTGAGAGAGAGAATATGAATTACTGACCCTCAGCCCTCTAAAAACTGACCCCACCAAAGGGTCACCTCTCTTGTGAAAGTAGCCAAGACAGGTTTGAGTAGAAGTCCGGAGCGAGAACGCCTGCTCCCTGGGCACAGACACTCCCCGGGCGGGCCGGGCCAGCGGAGGGAGGGCAAGGGGAGGACAGAGCGGGCGCGGCTCTGCTGGCGGGCGCCTGGCGCCACGGGGCCACGTCGTCAGCTTCAGAGCCACGTCCATCCCAACTCCACGTCCACTCCTCACCAACCATTAAAAACCAGCTCTGCCGGGACCGGTTTGGCTCAGTGGATAGAGCGTCGGCCTGTGGACTGAAAGGTCCCGGGTTCGATTCCGGTCAAGGGCATGTACCTTGGTTGCAGGCACATCCCCAGTAGGGGGAGTGCAAGAGGCATCTGATCGATGATTCTCTCTCATTGATGTTTCTAACTCTCTATCCCTCTCTCTTCCTCTCTGTGAAAAATCAATAAAATATATTAAAAAAATAAAAAATAAAACAAAAATAAAAACCAGCTCTGACGTCGGCCTGGGGACCGAAGCGTCCCTGGTGCGATGCCAGTCAAGGGCATGTACCTCGGTTGTAGGCTCTTCCCCAGCCCAGCCCTGGTCGGGGGTGTAGGACTGGCCCCCAATAGATGTGTTTCTCTCACAATGGTATTTCTCTCTGTCTTCCCCTCTCTTTTCCACTCTCCCTAAAAATCAGTGGAAACATATCCTCCGGTGAAGGTTAACAAGAACAAAACGCAGCTCTGAGGGAGAGAGGGCAGCACCCCAGACCCTTAACTGCCTTCGGGGCTCAGTCTCCCCCAGACACCTTGTTCTGGTCACGTGGCAAGCGTGAAGCAGAGGACAGCCCTTCGCAAAGGGGAAGGAGAGCCGTCAGCTGGTGTGCCGGGTGGCGGGGAGGGGCGGAAGGGCCGAGTTGACTCTCTGACTCTCTGGAATGTTCTCCTTCCCCACGAGCACGGGCGAAGGCACAGAGGAGGCTGGCGAGGGCCGCTGGCCACACAGGGTCCCTGCATCTGCCCCGCGTCCCCACGGCCTCCCAGGAAACCCGGCACTGCGACTTTAAGGCCAAAGTAAACAGGAGAGAGACGTTGTTGTCGAATACACACTGTATTTAACTTTTTATAATCCCAGAGAACTGAAATGCAACATCTGTTAGCAGTGATGTAACATCCGAAGACTGACGATGCAGAGTTTCCGAAAGGAAGTCATTGTAAGGCACTCGCAGGGCCAGCCCGTCGCTTCCTCCGAGGGCTTTCTCCAAACTCCGCTCCGCCCGGCCGCACCCCTGCGCCTGCTTCTCCCTCTCCCTGTCCCGACCCGAGAACCAGCCCAGTCCCATTGGAAGACAGAGGAAGATGGCGCATTGGGGGAGGAGACCACAGAGGGGGCACAGGAGTGAGCTCATGACACGGTGACAGCCGAGAGAGGGGAGCAGGAGGGACGGAAAGGGGGGACCCGCTGCCCGGGGTGGGGGTGGGAGGTGGGCTCCGGATCAGCTGGTCCCTTTGATTTTCCTCCGTGTTGAACGCTGTTCTCCGTGTTCTCGCCCCAGGGAAGGTGTGTGCAGGTGGCTAGCTTGTGCTCAGGCACAGGCCGGCGCAGGGACAGCATGACTGGAGCTCTCACAGGCCCGGTAAAAAGGGCCCCCCTTCCTGGCCCACGACATGCCCTAACCCCACCGTGACAGCCGCTCCTCTGGGCCAGGCATCGTCTGTGATCACTGTTAAACCGTAACTGTCCCCCGGGGGAGGGCACTCAACTCCTCCACGCACAGACCGAACTGCCCATCACCCGTCAGGGCGGCCCTGCGCGCGGGGACACGGGGCAGGACATGCGGACCCTGGGGGAGGACATTCCCCCTGGGGAGAAGGTGGCCGGGCAGCTGGTGGTGGTGGGAACTAGAGTTACGGGCCTGGAGTTACTCAGATGGGGAGGTCAGGTAGCAAAGCAACTTGTCCCACATCACAGTGCGCTAGGGTGTGTGTGTGTGTGTGTGTGTGTGTGAACAGTGTGCATAGATCACAACATTCTGTGTGTACATGTAATATGGAACTCGCTTGCACACCTCTGTGGTGATGGTTTGAACATGGCATCTGCACGTGCACACACACAAACTCACACACTCACACACACACACACACTCACACTCTCACACACACACACTTACACACACCCACACACTCACTCACACACACACACACACTCACATACTCACACACTCACACTCACTCTCACACAGGCTCACACACACTCACACACTCACACACACACACACTCACATACACACACACACACACTCACACACTCACACTTACACTCACACTCACACTTACACACACCCACACACTCACTCACACACACACACACTCACATACTCACACACTCACACTCACTCTCACACACACTCACACACTCACACACACACACTCACACACACACACACACACACACACACACACACACATACTCACACTCAGAGTGGCGATCTTGTGTGAACGGGAGGCCTCTTCTCGGCCACCTGGGTTTGGATGCTGCCCTCTCGCTGGGGAAGGCTGGCGTGGGGCAGTGTGATCCTCCCTCTGTCACAGGAGACCCTCATTCAATCCAGGTGGCTCTGCAGAGTGGGCAAGGTTTGGGTTGTACAGGCTGGATGGGCCCCGGCCAGTGCTGCTCAGTGGTTGAGCACCGACCTGTGAACTAGGAAGTCACTGTTCCATTCCCAGTCAGGGCACATACCAGGGTTGTGGGCTCAGTCTCCGAAGGTGGGTGGGCTGAAGGGCAGATCAGTGATTCTCTCTTGTCATTGATGTTTCTATTTCTCTCTCCCTCTCCCTTCCTCTCTGACATCAATAAATAAATAAATAAACAAATAAATAAATAAATAAATAAACAAATAATAAAAAAAAAAGCTGGAAGGGCCTTCTCACCAGGATGAGGATTTGGAGATGTGATGTCACCGAAGTGCCCTCTCACCTGTGGCTTTGGGGGCCTAGGGAGGTGCAGGTGGAAAGAGAATCTGGCAAAGGGCAGCCTCTGCTCCCAGTGAGGCTGGCAGCTTTTGTCCAAGAGCCGTCCCAAGCTGGGCTCGGCACCAGGCTCAGGGGACAGTGCTGGGACCTGCCCCTGCTCAGGGACCAGCTGACCTGCTGCGGGGCGGTGGGGGGGGGGAGGGGAAAGGGGGGGGAGGTAGGGGAAAGAGTCAGGGTGGCCGATCTGCTGGCGGGGGGGGTGCTAGGGGAGAGGCTGAGGAATGGGAGGAAACCACTGTCATTTCTCAGTGGCCTCTCCCATTCTGGGAGCCGAGAAAGCTGGGGAATGAGGGTGTGGGAGGTGAGGGGGGAAAGCAGACGTTGGAGGCCCGCTCAGCCGCCCCCCCCCCCCAGACCCTCAGGGTCTCCTTTAAACGCCGGTGCCAGGCTGCACCACCGAGACCCGGGTGCGGGAGGGGCCCGGCCCGGTCTGAGGTGAGGCGGCCTTAGAGGGTGGCGCCGGGACGGGAGCAGCTCCGTTCTGAGTCGGGCAGCGGGGACCTGAGTGCCAGCCCGCGGGCACGTGGGGGGAGGGGAGGCCTGTGCCCGGAGGGGGACGGTCCTGGGGCTGCTGGTTAGACAGCCAGGCTTCTGCAATGGGTGTGGCCTCCCAGCCGCCCAGCTGGTGGTTTCTAACCCATTTCTGGCTGAAAGTCTGGTTGGGGTGTGGGCGTTTGGACTCAGGGAGAGAATTTCCCCCCAAGTTCTGTGGCTTCAAAGTGGAATAACTTACTGTGCTATCTGGGGCCAAGAAGGCGAATTCTGGGGCTGGACCTTCCGCTGTGTAATGAGTACTAATTCCATAAATGAAGCAGTGAGCAGGCCAGGGAACAAACCAGGGAGTGAGACATTGCACGCCTCCTGGGCCCTCTTAGGGTGGTCCTCCCCTTGCCCCTTGACCTGGCGGCAAACACGTTGCCCTTGGCTACTGCAGGCATCCAGCCTGGCTGTGCGGAGAAGCAAGATGCTTTGACCCCGGCTCTCCAAGGTCAGAGACATCTCCAGAGTATTGACATTGGCCAACCGCATGGAAGGAGGGTGGGAGGGAAGGCAGGGCTTGGGGACCAGGGCTGGGTTACCCCAGGTAACCGAAGGCCAGGCTGAGCAGCCTTCACCCCTGGGCAGCTTCATAAGAGAGTTGGGAAGGACTTGAGACCTGGATGGACCCAACCCTTACACACGGAAACATACAGCGGGCACAGCCCCCTCAACACACCTCCCCAGGAGCCAACCGCAGCCCTGCCAGTGGGGAGGTGCCCGGCCCATGGTGGGTGAGAGGGACAGGCCACTGGGTGGGAGGGTGGCAAGGAGACAAGCAGGATGGCTGGTAAGGTTTATGGGAAACCAGCTGTCCACGGCTTCAGCTTGGGAGCCACCAGCCACGCTCAGTCCCTCCTCGGTCTGCCACGTGGCTCTGCTGGCTGGGTGTGCCATGCCTCGTCCTCCGAGGTGACCTGCGTATGGACAGGGAAACATGTGAGTAGAACGGGCATTAAGACAGAGGCCAAAGAAAGTCATTCCTTAGAAGCAGATCTGAGTACCATGAATAGATATCAAGAGGACAATGAACCTGAAGTTTTATGCAAAACTATGGGTAATTATTCACACACCCATTAGTAACGGCGGTCTGCGGCCTCTATGTGGTTCTTTAAAAAGTGATGAAAAGCTAACGTGGTGTGAAGGGATTACAGGTTGTCTGTAGGTACAACCCAGCAGCTGGGCGCAAAGGAGCGACAGAAACGGCGGGCGGGTCAGACCCACAGTCCGCTCTCAGCATCTGGGTCCCGAGGAGCCGGCAGGAATCGCTGGGTTGGGAGGACGGGGCCTGCTGGGGTTTCTGCGCGTGGGCGCACCTGCCACGGGCCGGCTGCTCGATTGAGACTACACTACTCCACCTGAAGTTGTCCGCCAGGTTGCCTTTGAAAAGAAAACCTGTTTCCACTGTCTTTTCTGCGGGCACTTGTCCGCGTGGCTCTGTGTGGCAGCCGTGGTCCCGGAGCCGTGGGCACCTGACGTTTACAAACACAGACAGGAGCTCTGAGAGCCCGGCTCCGCCCGTCTCCCCGATGGGCTCCTGTGCGTGTGTCTCTGGTCTGGTACACCGGCTGCTCTTGCGGGGCTGCCGCAGGCACAGCGGGGTCTGGGCCTACGTGTGAACACGGCTGCGCTTTCCGATTCCCTGCGTGGCTTCAGCCGAGGAAGAACATGCCGGTTCACAGGCAGGTGGTCACTAACCTTGTGGCCATGGTTGGCAGTTTGCAGACCCCCCATCGCCATGCCAGCGGGACTTAGGAGCCTAGAGGCCGCTCTGGAGACTTTCCGCAGGGGAATGGCTGCCACGCTCCGGGGCGGCGAATGCCAGTCCCCTCCTCCCTCAGCGACTGGTCAGAGGCACCGACGGCCTGGCTCTGCCGGCCAGTGGGATCTTGCCCGGCCCAGAATGGCAGAATGCTGGGTGACAGGTGCGATGTGGCCCGGGTGTGCGGAGGCCTGCAATGACCTCAGTCTGCCTGCTGCTGCTCAGGGACTGGGAGAGAAGCCCGTGTGCAGAATCGCAGCATCACAATGGGCTCAAGGTAACCGTCACCTTCTCTGCCGTGCCCTCCCTATGATATTATGTAATAGGTTTACAACTCAATAGGTGCCTTGGCTTAGCCTAATTTTTGCACAAAAAATCGGTTAGCTGCACGGGGTGGGTGGGGGTGGGGGGGAGAGTGTCTGTGCATCAGTTTCCCCCAAGGCGAGGCAAAGCCGTGAACCTTGAAGGGGGGGTGGGGGTGAAAGCACCTCGAACAGGCCCCTTCCCACCTGACAGTGGGGACGGGAGAAGACCTGTGTGAGACGGTTGAGTGTGGCCGCAGATATTTTTGAATCGGAGGAGTTTACAGCTGCTTATTCTCTCACAACAGATCCGCTTTCCCTTCCGAGGAAGGTGACCGAAGACGGCCTTGGCCTTTGGTTTCCTAAGTGGTTTCCAGGAACAGGTGTTTGATGGCAGGATTGGAGGAAATGCTTCCGGTCAGACAGTTGCCGGGGTCTTTACTCCCTGGTGCATGCGCCTGTGTGTGTGTGTGTGTGTGTGTGTGTGCATTGTGTGTAAACGGTTCATGTGTGTGCATGTGAGCATATGTGTGTGTGCTTGTGCATGTGAGCATATGTGCACGTGTGAGTGTGAGCATGTACACTGCACACTAGGGTGGGGTAGAGCCTCGCCCCTCGTTACAAATGCACACGCAGGTCCTCCTTTCTGCCCGTTAATTAGAAGTAACAGCTGCCTCACTGGCCTCTTGCTTTCAAAGCCCTGCTCAATGGGGCAGTTCTCAATGGGAGGCGAGTGACCACCTTCCTGCTGTCTTCCCAGGGCGTCTGTGTGGCCTCTAGCTGGATGGGAGGGTGGAGTGATGGGGGAGAGCCGATGGGGAGGTAGCCCAGTGCCTGTGAGTGGATGTGGCTACAGGTTTTCCCAGTGCCTCCTCGGAGGAGCACAGCACGATAGTGCTCTTGTCCCTGCCCTCCCTCGCTGAGTCCCCTCACCACAGCCGATGCGCTGGATAGAGAGGGCTCAGGGAGCACGTGCCTGGGGCATGTCCTGTGCTGTGTGCTCGCAAAGCTTCCTGCGGGCTTTGTGGCCTGCGGCATCATGGCCTGTGGGCACCGTGACCCGTGGCCTGTGGGCATAGTGGCATGTGGGCAGGGACTCTGCCTAGGCTGACACGTGGCAGACATTGCATGAACACTGTTTGAGAGGATGGGTGTGTAGAGGGATCTCATCCATTCTCCTTGAGAAGAAAACAGTGCATAGACGTTGGCAGGAAGCAGGGATGGGTGAGACGAGTCTGGGGTCCAGGGCGGACATTAGGGGCTCACTCAGCGCAGGTGCGTGCACCACACAACCCAATCGGTAATGCTCCCTCCCAGCCGAGGCCTGTGGCATCGGATCCTGTAGGGACAGACATGCCAGGGGAGGGCCACAGAAAGGGAGGGAGGTAGATAGGTGTACATATGTATGTATCATCTATATATCTATCCGTCTATCAACTCTGTATCTATCATCTATCTATCTGCCTATCCACCCGTCATCTCTCTATCTTACTTTCCTCTCTGTTTCTCTTGCCCGAGCCCATGGCGGCGCTGTCCCTGCTGGCTTCCTTAGTCGGTGTAAACGAGGCGAATGGGGCTGGGACTTCCGGTGTGGCCTCTTCCCTTCCCAGCAGGCCTCCCAGAGCTGCTGCGGCACATGCAGCGGCCCTTCCTTTTCTGACCGCCAGTGTCCAGGCCTCCCCAGCAGGAGTCTGAGGTGGCAGGAGCTCAAAGACGCCTCCCCCACGAGGCCAGGTTCACTGGCAGGGAAAGCGGGTTTCCCTAAGGTGGCTCTGGGCTTCCAAGGAGATGGGGCTGAGGGCCTGCCACTCGCCCCGGACCTGAGTCCACGGACGAGACCGTGCATGCAGGCAGCCCGTAGTCATCACCGCACTGTGTCTCCCGACTGTGGTGAGGGCCGGGCTGTATTAGCAGCTCGGTTCACAGAGGAGCCGAGGCCCAGAGGAATAAAGTGACTCAGTCAAAGTCAGGTTCACCAGCTGGTCCAGGTAACCCCAGGGCACACTGGCCTTTGGCTGCAGGGCACCTGAATGGGCCTCCCTTCTAATGTGGGGCAGGAGAGCAATCGGAAGCACAGAGCCCGGGGACCACGGAGAGCAGGGTCTGTCCTGTCCGGCTGCACCAGGGACCCATTGAGGCCGACCCCACAAAGGCCACCTTGTCCCGGTCCCCGCCAGTCAGCCCTGCCCGAGGAGTGGCAGTGGCTGGACAAGCACAGAGGGGCGTGTGCATGGAACTAGGGGAGAAGGTCCCCCGAGAGTGGGTAACGGGGTGGAAATAGGAGACAGAAGCTCAAGTCCTCGGAGCACCACTGATATTGGTGTGACCTCGGACAGGTCACTGGACCTGACTCCTCAGACCCCTCACCTGTGAAACGGGCTGCAGAGGGGATGACAGACGTTTGTGCCTGTGCCGTGCAAACCATGGCACACTAGCCAAGGGGAGTCTTCGCCATTCATAATGAGGACGGGGAGGGGAGGCCCACAACATTTCCATCTCAAACAGGAATGTTTGCTTCTCTACTTGAGAAGCAAAACCCTTGGTAAACTGTAAAGCACTGCCCACGGCGAGGGGATTGGTAGGAGGCTGACGTGAGTGATGGATGCCTCACTGAGCGGGAGTGCCTTCGCCCCAGGTGGTTCCTGTGCGGTGTCTGAGAACGGCCCCTGAGCGGCAACTCTCCTGCAGGGCCTCCACGGCAGCTGCCTTGGCAGGGAGACTGGCACCCGCCGTCCTCACAATCCCAAAGAGATGAATGGCAATGACGGGGTAAAAATATCCGTGTGCTCTGCGCTCGCTCGCTCTGCTCCGTTCTCTCAGGATCGTTGAGGCTTAATTAAAGAGCTCAGGCATTCATTGGGCTTTTGATTAATTTTTCTTTTCAGCCTGAAGAGTGTGAGTGTAGTGGGTCTGCGTGTGCGTGCGTGTTTGCATTTTCTCTGCAGCTCCGTTGGGAGCTGGCTCTGGCGGTGCTTCATTGTCCTCAGCGGTTCCATGTGCCGAGCAGAGCTGGGGAGGCCGTGGTTCATGCTGCCTCCGCCCGTGGGCTGCACCTGCCCCGTGGGCCGCTCCTGCCAGGATGAGGGACGCAGGGGGGGCCTCGCTCAGCTGGGGCCTCAGCTGCGTTGCTTGCTCTCTCCTCCTCCTGTGCTTCCGGTGCTTCAGGGATCCTGAGACTCCCGAGGGCAGATTGCTCCTCGCTAATTACCGGAGCTGCCGAGAGCTGCCCGGACAGCTCCCCCACTCTGCGCCCAGTGGGCACCTCCGGCCAGTCTCCCTGGGTTACCTGGTTCTCGGCATAGAAGACAGCGTTCGCTTATTTTTAACACATTCATTTTGTAGATCGGGCGAGGCCACATGGCTGTGGAGCAAATGACTGGCTTCTCCTTCGCTTCCCTCTCTTTTGTGCCCTCCTGGCAGGGAGCACCGCGGAGGCAGCTCAGGGCCTAGGCGAACAGGGGATTTGGAGCAAACGGCCCAGCTGGAACCTGCTCCTGACATTTTCTGTTTGTGTCAATGAATAAGTCCGTTAACCTCTGTGTATCTCAATCAGTGTTTGTAAAACAGGGATGGTCTGGGGGTGAGAAAATGCATATGGAAGCTTTTGTAAAATATAAATCACAGTTCTTTTATTTTGCTGCTCAGATCACGACTTGACCTGTGAGATACACTCCTAGCACCTGGACAGAGGGCGTCGGGAAACACCCTTGGAAGGGACTGGAGAGGGACCAGCCTCCAGCCTCCCACATGCTGAGGACCAAAGCCATGACCCAGGAGGTAAGATGTGTGTGGCAAAGGGCCTGAGGGAAGAGCTCAATTTCAAAACAGAGGTCACAGATCAAACTGATCAAAGGGAATCCAGAACATTCATTTTCGACATAACTGTCACAAGGACCTCCCCTGTCCTTTAAGGGATGGATCCCATCGTCTCCAGTGCTAAGAGGGTGACGGCTCAGGGTGGTGACAGAGGTCTGGCCGGAGACCAGGAGAGGGCGGTGGGGCTCAGGTAAGGGAGTGTGCTGTGATCTGAAGTTGGGGAGGCCCAGGCCCTCCCCTGGGCCCTGCTGACTAGTAGGTATGTGGCCCTGAGATGAGCTAACTTAATGGGACCTCAATTCCCTCGGGATAGTGGACTAAAAGCTTTCAAAGGTGACTACCATGAAGAACCTATGACTTAATGAAATGCTATTTCCCAGGCTGTGTGTGTGTGTGTGTGTGTGTGTGTGTAGACCTAAGTACCAGCCAACTAATGTAAACCTAAGACCAGCCAACTAATCAAGGCACTGAGTGAGTCCCTCTAAACTATGGTGTCAGCTGTCAGACCTGGGGACTCTTGGGGACACGCCTGATGGGAACAGGAAGGGGACCTGAGGTGACTCCCTCTGGAGAACCTTTCACTTTGCAATATCCAGACTGCGCTGAGGGGCATTCAGAATCACAGACAGAAAAGGGTTGTTTTCCGGTAAAACAGCGATGACTTTAAAATCATTGGCTGCAGGGCCCTAAGACATCCGCTAGATTTCAGAACTGAGAGACCCCGCTGCAGAGTTCACAGTATCACTGACAATGATCACAATGCATATTTGGTTATTATACAGGAATTTGCCTTTTATAAGTACTTTCCTATCTATTTTTTTCCTCTTTTTGTCATCACTCAATTTTTAAGAAAACTGGCCTGGGGTAGTTTCTTTTAAAATTCGGAAACGTGTGCATGTTCAGCAGGAACCAGTCTTGCTAAGTGTGCGGAACCTTGCTTTATAAAGACAGTGCATCCTTGGAAAAGTTGTATGTGAATATGACTGTGTACGTCACAGCTTATTTGAGTGGGCAATGGGTATTTGAAAACAGAAATCTTGTATAAGATTGTGTAATATACATAATCCTTTCTTCTGCTTTTTTTTTTTTTTTTTTTTTTTTTTTTTTTTAACAATTTTTGGTTTTTAAAGATCAGGTGTTTCTTAAAGTAAGAACATGGACTAGGTTCCGGGATCAGTGTCCACTCTCCAGGTCCCACATGGGTGGCATCTAATCCCACCAGAGGGACACACTGCTGTTTCCGATTCTGCCAGCAGCTCCTTATTTCAGCCCCGGAGCTCTTTGGGGCTTCCTGCCCTAAACAAACAAAACAAAACAAGACAAAACAAAACAAAACATACCCTGGAAGCGTGGAGAGGGATGGAGGAACACAAATGGGACAGCAGAACTATTTCTAAATGAACTGTCCCTGTGAGTCGCTGGCGTGTTGTCTGTGTGTGCTATAAATGGCTCAGCGTGCCCTCAGTAACCAATCCGGGGGCAGCTCAGGACCGAGGTGCGGGGCCCATATGGTGTCACTGGAAATGGATCTCCTGTAAATGAGCACCACCCCTGGGATTAGAACCTGAAAGAAGTTCAGCTAGATTGCACTTTTAATAAAAGTAATAAAAAGGCGCTCCTGGCTTTCCAGCTTCATCCTCAAGCTCTGGCCACAGACACATCCCTGGAGCCAACCACAGGGCTGTCACAATTGCTCTGAACCTCAACTCTCTCACCAGGCCTGTAAGTCCGCCCATCAAGCCCACAGCGGCATTATGGGACTTTCAGAATCATGTTGCAGGGGGAGGGGCTTGAAAAAGGCACCATATTTATATATCACAGTTCATGACTGGGAATAAAGGAAAAAGCTCTTTTTGGAGGGCAATAGAAGTTAGAAGAGCTGGAAAAATCCTTATTATAAAAATTAGAAATTCTTTAAAAAACTTGATATTGGCCTGACCAAAGGAAATACAGTTTCTCATATTTATTGCTTCATGTGAGTAGCTCAGATTTTCATTAATGAGCTCGGGGTTAAGGCTTAGGAAGCAGGTCTCACAAAGGCCCAGCAGTTAAAGTTGATTTCTGTGAAATTGAGTGGAAAGAATCGAATACAGAAGCACAGTGCGTGCTTTGTGCTCCACGCACTCGCCAGGAACTCTGGACCCGGGCACACGAGCTGCGTGTGTGCATTCTATCCGCCCAGCTCATTCGGAAACTAAAACCACAAACAACCCCAAAGTGAAAATGCTATTCTTATTTGCTGAAATGTTCTTGAAGCCCTCCATGGATTCTTCGCTTATACACATTATCTTTCTGTAAATTTAGGACTAGTAACAGGAACAGAACAAGCAGCTGTAAACAAAAAATCACAATTCAGGTTTCACTGAAAACATGGTGAAGGCCCCGAATATCATAGTGACTGCAGAGCACAGAAATGACCTATCCCAACACTGTGATTAAGGATGCTCTGAGTAATCACTTTTTGGAAGGAGGTAGGTAGGTAGATGGAACCATCCAGAGTCACCATCGGTTAGTTCATATCAGCACCTTGGATAGCTCCCAGGACGCCCTCTCAGAACAGAACAAATGTCAATATACCTGCAGTTTCTAAGTGTTCCTTTCATTCCAGTGAGTCTACGGATGACCAGATAATCAACTAATAAATGTACAATGATTAATTTGTGATAATAACTTATTCCTTCCTCTCCCCAACACCCATTCTCCTCACCACCGCCCTTCATTCCACCCCCTTCCCCAGCACCCTCCCGTCAGACAGCGGACTGTCTGTCTTACAAAAGCCTGGTGTGGGTGTTTCACTTCCACTTCTAACTGGTTGGGAAGCAGCATTTGCCACAGGCACTGTTTAGTTTCGCTTCCATTCCCTGCTTCTCACAGGAAAATGGTCAATAGTTTGGATAAAAGAATCATCCTGGTCAGCTCCAAATAAAATATGGCTCCTTGCATGGTGTTCATAGCAAGTCTGTTGAAGCAGTGATTTCTCTATTCCTAAGAGGAAGAGATTTTCCCTAAGGATTATGGTTCTACCACCAAGGAGCAGCTCTGCTCTTCACAGGTGGCTGCAAAGGCTGGCAAACCAGGAGGTCTGCTTTGGCTCAGAAATTCAGTTTGGCTCCTGCCATCCCTGGCACCCCCACGGCGTGTCTCCACGACAGGTGCTCCACATACTTTCAGGCTGGCTGGTTTCTACTTAGGAGGAATCACAACCAGAGGTGGCCCCCGCTTGGGCCTCCACATGAGGACCTGGGCATCATTGGCATTGGGTTTCACTAGTGCGTTGGGGGGGATGGGTTCCATCCGGCTCAGGATCCGGGGCTGCTCCTGCTGAGTCCTGCCCACCAGCCGGGCCCGTTGTCCCAAGAGCTGAAGGGGGTCCACCTCAATGTCCACCCTCATCCTCCACTTAATGGTCTGCAGAATGATCTTCTCCTTTGTGGTTGTGTTCATGGCTACCAGCCAGGTGGTGAAACTCTGGTCCCTCTTGATCCTGGTGAGCAGGGGTACGTTGCTGTCGCTCACTGGCACCGCCCATGTCACACTGGGGTAGAAATTGTCATTCATGCTGACGGAGAACCTGGACATCTTGTTGGTGGGGCCGACCAGGGTCACAGTTTCTGTGGTGTTCCCATACCAAGGGTAGCTCACCCCATCTGAGTCACTGATGGCTTTTACTCTCCCTTCCCTCAAGTCAGGCAGCTCCCAGCTCGACCTGGCAAAGCAGAAGAGATGCAAGAAAGGAAGAGTCTGAATGAATTTTTCAAAGCTGGAGAGGTGCCCACCACTTCCTAACACAGCCAGCTTGGGCAGAATGGGGAGTTCAGAGGGGAATTCAGGTAAGAGAGTTCTATGCTGTGCTGTTTCATGATAAATAGGAACAAATGAAAACAAACAAAAATTAAAAAGCGATACCAAGACAAATTAAATACAGTCATAACTGGTCCAACTGGAAGCAGAAAACTCAAATACGCATTTGCGAGACCCACAAGGAGGCACTGACTATTTGGGATGGTGGAATTAAAATCAAGTGTTTAAGGTAGGGGTGTCGAACTCAATCAGAGAAGGGGCCAAAATCTAAAATCCAGCCTAAATCGCGGGCCGAATGGTTTACTGAACAGTCATAAACTATCATTGTGATGGAAACGCAGCGGAGTGCAGTGATGACAGCGCAGTGCGGGCCACATTGCAAGGCCTGGCGGGACGGATTTGGCCCGCGGGCCTTGTGTTTGACACATGTGGTTTAAGGCATTCATTGCAAAACCCATTTTATTTTTTTTTTCTTTTAATATATTTTATTGATTTTGTACAGAGAGGAAGGGAGAGAGATAGAGAGTTAGAAACATCGATGAGAGAGAGTCATCGATCAGCTGCCTCTTGCACACCCCCTACTGGGGATATGCCTGCAACCAAGGTACATGCCCTTGACCGGAATTGAACCCGGGACCTTTCAGTCCGCAGGCCAACGCTCTATCCATTGAGCCAAACCGGTTTCGGCCAAAACCCATTTTCTTGGGAATTATGAGTGTGTGTGAGGTTTGTTGGGAAGAGGTGCTGGTTAAGGACTGATGTACTTGGAATGAACTATTAGATTGTAAGAGGGCAAAAGAAGGCAAAATGAAAAAATTACATCAATTCTTAGAAAATCCCAGTACTAGAATTTCTACTTAACCAAGAAGGTTGTTTAAAACCCAGTTATTGGCTAACCCAGTGGTTAGCAAACTCATTAGTCAACAGAGCCAAATATCAGCAGTACAACGTTTGAAATTTCTTTTGAGAGTCAAATTTCTTACACTTAAACTTCTTCTAACGCCACTTCTTCAAAATAAACTCACCCAGGCCATGGCATTTTGTCAAAGAGCCACACTCAAGGGGCCAAAGAGCCACATGTGGCTCGTGAGCCGCGGTTTGCCTACCACTGGGCCAACCCAACTTAGAAAATATAGACATAGAAACTGGTAACACAAGGAAATAATGGTCACCTCTGGAACCGCCTCAATGTGAAAGCTATGTGAATGTTGGCAGACAAAGTCTCTCATAGCTATTCTTTTACTGACTTCAAGTCCAGTCTTGAAGTCTAATTGCTTAGTTTAGCAAATTTTCCATCTGGGCATTTTGCTACTATTTCTGGCTGTCCCCAACCTTGTACTGAAGGAGGGAAGAGGACATGTGCCCAACTCTTAGCCCATGTCTCTCTCCCGTGCCATGGAATCATTACCAACACCACCATCACCATCACCCCTACCGCCACCATCATCACCATCATCATTATTACCATTATTATAATCACCAACACCACCATCATCACCATCACCCCTTCCGCCACCAGCACCACCATCATCATTATTACCACTATTATAATCACCAACACCACCACCATCATCACCATCATTATCATGCTCATCATCACCATCATCATTACTGTCATCAGCAGCAGCATCACCATTGCCATCATCATCACCATCATATCACCAACTTCATCACCATCATCATAGCTGATACTTATTGAGCACTTGCTCTATTCCTACCACTGTGCTAAGTGTTTCATGCTTTCTTAGTCAGTGCTCAAAATATATGGCAAAATAAATGAATTTTTATTTCCATTTTATGTGTAAGAGGATGGAGGCACTTCCAATTCCAGATGGGCCAAACCACACGCACCTTGTTCATGGCAAAGTTGGCCCTTTCCCCATTTCTGCTGCGGGGTGGCTCGGTGCTAACTGTCCTCCAGGTCAGAGGTGAGGGTCACCTTCGGCTGGTCCTATGCCCTCTCCTGGACTGCCACACAGACTGTGTCACCACAGCCTGTGAATTTTGCTCCATAAATGATGCTTGAATTTATCTCCTTTTCTGCATCCAACTCTCACTGCCCTCAGCATCTCTGACCTGGTCTACTGTACCGGTCTATAACTGGTCTCTCAGAGATGCAGGTCTGACTGTGCCTTTCCATGTCTGAAACCCTCCAAAGGCTCTTCTACATGGACAGCACTGGCTTCACCCATAGCAGAACATTCTAGTTCATCAATAGGACATATGAGGCTCTCAAGGTCTTGCCTCCTCAGTTGCCTTGCCTCCACACACTATTCTGTTTCTCCCCTCTCCCCTTTGCTCATGCCCTGCCCTCTGCCCACACTGTTTTCTCCCCTCCTAGTCTCACTGTACCTAACTACTCTTCCTCTGGGAATCACTGAATGTGTGACCTCTGCAGGAAGCTCTCTCTTCCATGCTCCTAGGGATGCATTCAAACCTTCACAGGCCCGGATTAGAATGATTTGTTTTTATGTCTGTCTTTCCCTTTAGGTTAAGACTGCCTTCAGGCTTGGGATTGTGACTTATTTTTGAATCATTGGTGTCTAGCACGTTACTGATAATAATCCTATCTAATAAAGAGGGAATGTGCTAATTGACCCTTGCACTGTCGCAAAGATGGTGACACACAGAAAATAAGGAGGAAATATGCTAATTGGCTGCCCCACCTCAAATGTGGCATCACCCACAGCCACAAGATGGCAGCATCCAGTCCCCTCAGCCCTACTGGGGCCGTGCACCTGCCTCTGGAGTCCCCCAGTCCTCTTAGCCCCCCAGCCACCCAAGGCCAGCTCCAGGCACAGGCAAGCCTTGGATGGCAGCTGCCCAGCTGCCCAACGCTGCCCGAGACTCAGGTAACCAGGGCCGACCAAGGCTTACACTGCTGGCAGTGGCAGCAGCAGAGGTGTGATGGGGGCATAGCCTTTCCCTGATCACTGGGTTCTCCCACCCCTGAGGGCTCCCGGACTGCGAAAGGGGTCAGGCTGGGCTGAGGGACCCCCTCCAGTGCAAGAATTTTCATGCATCGGGCCTCTAGTAGATCTTAATAAATCTCCATCAAAGGAATAAGCAAATATTTGATTGGAATAATTTTCAAGTCTCTATGCCTGTAGCTTGGTAGCACTTGTATGCAGCAAAGCACTTTACCACAGGTTTACACTGTATATATTCACTCATCTTAAAAAACAACATTCACACACTGGCATCTACTATTCATTTAGGGTCTATTAATAGAACAGCTCCATGCCTGACGCTGAAAGTTGTGCACACTTAAGAGGGAGGGGGAGAAGCCACACATAAATAAAAATGAATGAACTGGTTACGATGGGCTTGAGGTGAGAATTAAGTAAGGCAACGAAGGGGCAGCACTTAGCACAGAGTGTGGCACAAAGCAAGTGACGCAGACGTTTAGTAAGGAACAGAGACGGGGAGTGGGAGGCAGCCAGCAGCCCTGGGCCTTCTCAGGCAGGCACTGGCAGCCCCTGCGGGAGGCAGGGACCCGCGTAGGCTGTTCACATGAGGAAAGGCTCCTCTGAGTGACATGGGCTGAGAAACACCTGGGATCTCCTACGTCTCCGAGCTATGACAGGGGCCGGCGGTGTGTGCTGGTGTTCGGGCCAATGCCAGTTATTATCTCACCCCTCCTTCTCCCACAGCCTCTTCTCCGCGCTGGGATCAGCACGGTGTTTGCGTTTCAGACAATCAGCCATTGACCCAGCACTCACAGCTAATGGACTCGCCAATGGAGCCGATAATGAAAACATCGATCAACTGCAACCTTCACGCTTCCTGCGTCTCTTCTTTAAAAGAAAGAGGCAAATCTCAATCAAACAAGCTCGTGTGAAGCATTTCGTTCAAATAAGTGGATCCTGGGTGAAGGTCCCGGTGCCACCAGGCCAGCCAGGCCTCCCGTGCCCACGGCACAGCCACCTCTCTGCAGAGCCCACGTGGCTCCCGGAAGCCCTGTGGTCGCCGAGAAGGTGGGAGCCGGCGTTCCGGAAGGCAGGCCCCGGGCAGGGGTGGGACGGGCTCACACCCGGAGCGTGCCCACAGACCTCCCGGGGGAGGCTTGGAGATTCGGATGGAGCTCCCCCGGGCCCAGGCCACAGGGGTCCCTGCCTCGTCCCACAGCTAGAGGGACTGGGACACCCACTCGGGTGACTTCTGGCTGTGCCCCTCCACACCAGTGAGAGCCCCTCCTTCTAGGCCACACTCTGGGGACCTGGGACTTCTATTCCTACCCAAGTGGCCCCATGCTCACCCTGATGGAGCCCCCACTTGGGAATGTGGAAAGTGAGGCTACGGGAGCACCACACTGAGGATCGGCTTTCCTCCCAGGCCGAGGAGAGCAGCGTGCCCATGTGCCAAGTGCCCTCGACGTGGCAATCCCAGCGCCCCACACTGTTCTGTCCCCCAAGCCCTCCAGGGAGGAGCGGGGAGTAAGAGCTCCCCCCCGGGGGGGGGGGGGAGAAGAGGGAGGGAGAGGAGGTAAGAGAGGGGAACGGGAGGAGACCCCTCAAGGGCAGGTGCGAGGAGAGGGCTGTTCGGGGAGGCAGGGGGCAGCGGCGTGTGTCACCTGACGAGTCACAAAGCCACAGCCTCTGGGTGGCCTGTCCACCCACGCAGACATCAACCCCAACCCCGGCACCAGCCCGGGTCCTGATTCCCAGAGGGTTTGCACCGAAATTACAGAGTGAGTTTAAAATTAGGTTTTCCTCCACTGCACTGTGTGTCAGACTCGGAAGCCCGTGACTACCGCCTCCCACCATCCCTCCGCCCTCCGTTCCGACCACATCCTCTCCTGACTGTGAGAGCCACATTTTCCCACGGCAAAACGGCCTTTTCAGGGTTTTCGGAGCCTCCGTGTGTGGAGGGCCTGGCGGGCTCCCTCGTCAGGGCCTCCTGTTC